CGAGAGGGGACTTGAGAGAGGGCTTGAGAGGGGACTCGAGAAGAGACTCGAGAGGGGACCTGAGAGGGGACTCGAGAGGAGACTTGAGAGGGAACTTGAGAGGAGACTCGAGAAGAGACTCGAAAGGGGACCTGAGAAGGAACTTGAGAGGGGACTCGTGAGGGAACTCGAGAGGAAACTTGAGAGGGGACTCGGGTAGGAACTTAAGAGGAGACTTGAGAGGGGACTTGAGAGGGAACTTGAGAGAGGACTCGAGAAGAGACTCGAGATGGGACCTGAGAGGGGACTTGAGAGGGAACTTGAGAGGGAACTTGAGAGGAGACTAGAGAGGAAACTTGAGAGGGGACTTGAGAGGTGACTTGTGTCGGTCGGTACGCCGACAGGACACAGGGACCTGGCGTCGGCTGGAGAGCCAGCAGGAGACGAGGTGCTGGAGTCGGCCGGTACACCGACAAGACTCGGGGAGCTGGCGTCGGCTGGGGAGCCAGCAGGAGACGAGGTGCTGGAGTCGGCCGGTACGCCGACAACTCGGGGAGCTGGCGTCGGCTGGGGAGCCAGCAGGAGACGAGGTGCTGGAGTCGGCCGGTACACCGACAAGACTCGGGGAGCTGGCGTCGGCTGGGGAGCCAACCCTGTAGCCGAAACTGGAGTCGGGCCCATGGTTTCTGGGGCCGGTACTGAAGCCGGAACCATGGCTGCTGGGGCCGGAACTGAGGCCGGAACCATGGCTGCTGGGGCCAGCACTGGGGCCGGAACCATGGCTGCTGGGGCCATAACTGGGTCTGGAACCATGGCTGCTGGGGCCATAACTGGGTCTGGAACCATGGCTGCTGGGGCCAGAACTGGGGCTGGAACCATGGCTGCTGGGGCCAGAACTGGGTCTGGAACCATGGCTGCTGGGGCCAGAACAGGGGCCGGAACCATGGCTTCTGGGGCCAGAACTAGGGCCGGAACCCTGGCTACTGGGGCCAGAACTGGGGCTGGAACCACGGTTGCTGGGGCCAGGACTTGGGCTGGAACCATGGCTCTTGGGGCTCGGGCTGCTAGCTTGGCCTTGCGACTCCTTCTCTTAGCAGCCGCCTGAATACTCCGTGGACCTCCATAAGCCAGACGAGTTCCAGAATACGACTCCTGGACAGGAGCAGGAACTGGGGCCGGAACCATAGCTGCTGGGGACAGAACTGGGGCTGGAACCATGGCACCTTGGGCTCGTGCTGCTAACCTGGCCTTGCGACTCCTTCTTTTAGGAGCCGTTTGGAGGCTCCGTGGACCTCCAAAAGCCAGACGAGTACCAGCGAATGGCTCCTGGACTGTAGCAAACACTGGGTGAGAAGCAGGGGCTGACGCCAGACGGACCACACCGATGCGTGTGGTATCAAAAAGGGAATTGGGAGACCTGGGTCTATCAGGATCGGGAAAACAAACCGTGAGGTAATCCAAAAGCCAGGCAGGTAAGAATTTAACCAAATCTTGATTCTTCATCGTAAGGTGGAATGCATCTGCCAGAGCAGCATCTCGCTGCTGACCCCTGACCGCTCCTATCCATCGATGAGCGCAGTCAGACAAAGAAAAGGTATAATCCAATAGTTCCTGCTCAAACGGATCTGCTGGGCCCATATCTCAGGTCGATTCGTAATGTTACGGTGTGTGTAGGAAGCAGGACCCAAATGCAGATTAAAGTGACAAAAAACTCCTTTATTTCAAGGCTATACTATTAAATAAAGACTAAACAGAACACTCATCGAGGAACAAGCCATATCTTCTTTTCTTTTTTTTACTTTTTATTAGAAAATTCATCATTTACATTTTATTGCGATACCTTGTCTTTACATACCGTAACTGTGGCCATACATTTTAAACAATAATCATGCAAGACAGGACAAATAAGAGAAACAAGCAAAATGCAATTGCCCGGGATAGACTACCAAAAACCCCATTGGACTTCATTTGATAGTCCAATCACAGTAAATAATGGTACAAAACCACAATATGAGAAACAATTAATTAATAATAATAAGGTAATCATTTTTGAATAAGCCACACTTTATGTTTATCAAGCCACTCCACACCATACTCCCACCGCACATGCTAGCCAACCCCATCATACTCAAACACCAGGCTGTCATCGTCCATTACACCCACTAGAGCGCACCCTTCCAAAAGCTCTCCAGAAAAATATCTTTCTCCAGGTATGCGTATGCCATGTGAATGTTTTTGCTTAATATCCGTTTGAAAACATCCCATACATCTACTGTTCTGCTCTCATTATGGGCTACGTCCCTCCTGATCTTCACAGCATACCGGGCATGGCTCAGCACATAATTGCAGAGATTCACATTGAACCCTTTCATTCTCTCATGCACCCCAAACAGCCACAACTCCTTCCATACCATCGTTTTTATTATCCTCTCGCCCCAACATTTATCAATTAGCTCTTTCAGTCTTTCAAAGTACACTCCCAGCTTGCTACATTAAAAAAATGCATGCATACACGTTTCAACCTTTGTCTTACACACATCACATTCCCTCTTCACTGTGACATCAAACTGGCTTATGATCAAGTTGTTGTACACCCTATTGTGACGCAAAAAAAAATCTAAATGTTCACACTCTATGCTATTCCACTTCACCCTTAAATTCCCCCCATATCTTCCGCACATCAAACTTCTCAAGAACCTTTTCCCACACACGCTCAGAAGCAGGCCTTCTTATTTTATTTCCCCTCAGTATTTTGTAAATCGTCTTGGTCTTTACCTTTTCTATTTTCACACACACATCTCCCTCCCCCATGTACATTCCTGCCACACTCTCTCCACCTCTTACCGCTTCGCTCTCAATCATTTCCCTCCACCCACCAGGCATTCCCTTTTTCACCCTATTCATGATCCCTTCTGCTGTTTTCAAAGGCATTCTCCCCCCTCTACCCCTCACTTCATCCACTATCACCTGTACCCCCATAAACCCAATCATTCTCCCTTCACCATCATCCTCAACCTTCCTATAGCATTCCTTACCTCCCCTGAGTTGATAAGTATTGCCACCCCCCTAGCGTGTACACTCCCATTATTTGCAAACACTTCACCCATCCACTCCTTTTTTACCTCCTCCACACACTCCCCATCTCAATGTGTTTCCTGCAGACATATTATACTGGCCCCACATAGAATTAGCGCCGGTTTTCTTCTAATCCTACTTTTGAGGCCATTGCCGTTAAAGGAGGAGATGGTTGCCATCAAAAGGGATGTTATTATGATAAGCGTCCTTAACATCGTTACCTTAAGCTGATTTATTTCCAGAGCTCCCCCTCTGTTGAGCTCGCTCTCCTTTTCTCCATCTACCTCTCCTTGTTCTCTTTGCGTCTAGCACTCCGCCCGGCGTTCTCCGCTGAGGTCTTCTTCTCATCTTCACGCCTATTTCTCCTCATGCCGCGGCCCCTCTGTTCATCATTAGGGTTCCCGAAGACCATTGCGCCCACAGGGTCCTCCTCCAGCACTCCCTCCTCCATCTCTGATGCCTCCGAGATGTCCTCCACCACTCCGACACTTCTTTCCCCCGCCGCTACTTCCCTTCGGCGCCTCCGCCGCTCTGCCTTGCACTTTTCTTAGCTCCATCCTCACCTCTCGCCGCTCCTCCTCCACTCAGGCCTTCCTCCTCATCGCTGACCTCCTCAAAGGGTATTTTCTTCGCTCCTTCCGCCCCTTCCTCGTCCTCCTCGTCTTCCTCCTCCTCATCTTGCTCCTCGTCTTCCTCCTTGTCCTCCTTCTCTTCCTCCTCTTTCTCCTCTCTCTCCGCCCTGAACCTGCACTCCCTGGCATAATGTCCTGTCTGGCCACACTTGTGGCACTTAAACTCCGGGCACTCCCTAAAGAAGTGACCGGGCTGGATGCACAGCCTGCAGACAGGAACCTGGCGATTGTGCAATACTCTGAAGTACTCCACCCTCCTCACTGTGTCTAACTTCGTGGAATAGGGGAGGGAGCTGACCTTGTCATTGAACCTTACTCTCAGGAATCTGGTGCCGTCTGTGATTTCTGTGCCCGGCCACACTCTTTTTTTGATTGCCGAGATGGGCTCGACCCCCCACTCTTCCAGTCTCTTAAGTATCATCCTATCAGGTACATATACCGGCAGATTTAGGAACGAGACAGTCAGATTTTTGTTCAAGAGGTCCTGTGCGTGCACCATGACACCGTTCACCCTCAGCCCCTCCATTATTTTAATTTTACTTTCATCCATCATACTTTCTACTTCTTACATTTTCAAAACCAACCCATTACTTTAGTTTTAATCTGCATTTGGTCGAGGGATCATTATTATTTCGAAACATTGAGAGCCCATCTTTTGGTGGCTATGTCCCAACATTGAGACTAATCACTCAAACATGATAAGCGCTATTGTACTGTACATGTTCCTTTTTTTAACAAAGCCTTTTGGGAAGAGGCGTTAGAGGCTCTTAAAAAATAAATCAAACGCATCACAATTCATGCCATCTTTACTTTTGTCTTACAGTTTTCACTTCACTATCTAAGAAGAAAACCCTTAAAATGATATATGTTTAAAAGAAAAATAAATAAATAAAACAAAATATATTTCAAGAAAAATCTGATTTCTGAGATTGTCTTGAAAAAAAAAATAGAAAATCTGAAAAAAAGGTTTAATTTTTTTATCAGAATTCTGACTTTCACTAGTAAAGAAAAAGTTGAGGTACGACCAAAGTGATTTTTATCTGACTTTAAGTTTCACAGTTCACCACATGTCCCTAACCCGCTTCTTCATCTCCATTTTTGGTATAAATAAATGCGCTTGTGTTCACTTTCCCCCCGACTCTCTCAATGTTATTTGTTGTTGTGTGTTACTGTCTCCATTTTTGCCCTAGAGCTTATTTGGGGACGTAGCAGTAAAAAAAGAAATACATGCATTTAAAATTAAACTCAACTTAGTGCAGCTTCGCTGGAGAGGAGAGATAATTTCATTCATTACAAACAAAGAATGAGATTATCACTTGTGTTCTCTTAGCTCTTTTATTAACAAGAAAAATCCCAACATTTTATTTGTTACTGTAAATGTGGCACTCATCTCACATCTTGAAAATAGAAACACAATTTATAACAAACTCAACCTATTAGCTTTTCTTTTAATGTGTTTTCTTTCCTTTTTCAAACTTTCATTAATGCATCCAACACATTGAGACTTAGTCAAAACTAAAAGACCTATTCAACAAATATTTAGAGCAAAGTTTACATTTTCAAGCAGAGAAATCTCAGTTGAGGTTAACTAAACAGACACAGGAAGGAGCGCCGCCTAAAATAAACTCCAACATCTACAGAACAACTCTGAAGATGTTAAAGCACATCCCATAATGTTAGATTGACAGCTGATCTCTGTGCAGTGAAGACATGAACAACCAGCTCTCAGCAACAATGATGGACACACAATGAGTTTAAGAGGTAGAAGAGTTCCTCAAATGACTTCAGGCTATTTCAGTTTACACAACTCAGCTGTGGTTCCATTAGGATAATAAAGCCCAACTCCAGCATGTAGAGGCTGAGTGAATGTGGTCTGGACTCTGTGGAGGAGAGTCATGGTTTCAGAGATGCTGTAGAAGGACAGAATACCTGCTCTGTGATCAAGGTACACTCCTACTCTGGAGGACAGAGGACCTGAGACGGGAGTTTTGATTCTGTTGTAAAGAAATTAATAACTGTTTTTGTCACAATATAACGCCCAAGATTTGTCATTGTTTCCAAATCCACATTCATTCCCATCCCCTACTCTGCTGATATTCTTGTATGCTACTGCTACTTCAACTTCTGCCCCTCTCCACTCCACCTCCCAGTAACAACGTCCAGTCAGACTCTCTCTACTCAGGACCTGAGGATATAAAGTGAATCTGTCTGGGTGACTAGAATAAGACTTGTGTGGTTTCATGTATGTTGCTTTTCTGCTCCCCTCAGATAATACCAGCCGTGTGTTTGCTGTGTTTGGATCCAGAGTGATCTCCTGTGAATAATTGAAGAACCCAGCTCTGGTGGCGGGCTCTGCTGCTGACAGTAAAACATCCACTTCAGTCGGTGAGACGTTTTTCCATTCCTCTCTCAGGATGTCCTGTAGTTTGTATCTGACTGCTGACAGGAGATAGAGCTAATATAGCTAATTTGAATAACCTTATGTCCTGCTGCTGGATATCTTATCCTATAAATAACTGTCAAGGTGTATTTAATAATTGATTTATATTTTTGAATGATCTAATAATCTATATCTACCTAGTAACTAAAAGCTGTGAAATTAATGCAGTGGATTAAAAAGTACAATACTGTCTTCTAAAATGTATTAAAGTAGAAGTATAAAGCAGCATAAACTGAGACGTATTGGCATCAACCACTACTACTTACTGTGCGTAATGTCCCATTTTAGAATCATATATATTGAATTACTGGATTATTTCATCTTTTATAGATTAATGTGTTTGTTACATCCCTAATAAAGTGTAGGGAAATGGAGACAGTAACACACAACAACCAATAACAGTCAGGGTGAAAGAGAACACAAGTTTATTTATCTACACCAAAGAAAATGCCCAGCTGCACAGGCAGGAAGTGATCAGCTGGTTACCTGCAGTGAGAAAAAGGAGAAGAAAAAAGAGCAGGAGGAGGGAAGGTCAGTCCACCTTAAATGAGCAGTGGGTGATCAGCAGGTAAAAGGCAGGACACGGGAACTTGGTCCTGAGGAGACGTAACGATTATTAAACAAGAAATAGTCGAGTCAAAGGGTTAAAGAAATGAACATGTCTGATTATTAGTGAATTGTTTGCAGGCGGGTGAAATCAGGCTTAGGGAGTAACGTATTCCATGTAACAGCATCAGGTCATCAGGATACAAAATAGACAAATGTATTCCCTTAGTTACAGAAGCAGCTGACGACCAACACACTTGTGTCTTTTTAAACGATTACGCCATTTAAATCTTTTGTCACAAACTGTGCAGCTCTATTTTTCCTCTCCTGTGTGTACTCTCATGTGTCTCTTTAAATTTCCACTCTGTGAAAAACCTTTCTTACAGACTGAGCAGCTGTGTGGTTTCTCTCCTGTGTGGACTCTCATGTGGTGCTTTAAATTTTCACTCTGTGAAAAACCTTTCTTACAGACTGAGCAGCTGAATGGTGTCTCTCCTGTGTGGACTCTTATGTGGTCCTTTAAACGTACACTCTGTGAAAAAGCTTTCTTACAGACTGAGCAGCTGTGTGCTTTCTCTCCTGTGTGGACTCTCATGTGGTCCTTTAAATGTGCACCCCGTGAAAAAGCTTTCTTACAGACTGAGCAGCTGTGTGGTTTCTCTCCTGTGTGGACTCTCATGTGGTCCTTTAAATGTCCACTCTGTGAATAAGCTTTCTTACAGACTGAGCAGCTGAATGGTTTCTCTCCTGTGTGGACTCTCATGTGTGTCTTTAAACTTCCACTCTGTGAAAAAGCTTTCTTACAGACTGAGCAGCTGTGTGGTTTCTCTCCTGTGTGGACTCTCATGTGGTCCTTTAAACTTCCATTCTGTGAAAAAGCTTTTTACAGACTGAGCAGCTGAATGGTTTATGTTCAGCACTACGTCGTGGATCACTGACAGATTCATGTCTATTTTTCAGTGAGTTTGAACCTGATGCTGGTTCTCTGGTCTCTTTCCAATCAGCACTGTCTTCAGTGTCAGGTTCAGAAGAGTCTCCAGTGTCAGGTTCAGAAGAGTCTCCAGTGTCAGGTTCAGAAGAGTCTCCAGTGTCCGGTTCAGAAGAGTCTTCAGTGTCAGGTTCAGTCTTTGGTTGTAAACTGCTCTCTGGATCTGAGTTCCTGGCTGGTTCTGGTCCACGACAGTCTTTATCATCTTCACTCTTCACAGGGTCAGGAGTGAAAGTGGACTTGGTGATATCGGCCTCCTCCAGCTCCTGAAGCTGCTCTCCCTCCTGTTCCTGCTTAATGTGTTGGGGGGGCTCTGGGTCCTCCTGGTCCAGACTGGTGCTCCATTCCTGCTGGTCAGGGAGAAGCTCTTCTTTAACCACCACCAGCTGCTGGACGTCTGCAGGAAACAGGAAACACACAATCAGAACAAACTGTTAAAAATCTAATTACCATTACAATTGGAGACATTTTGCAGCCCTAATTAATGCCTTTGTTTTTATATTTTCACATTATCTTTCTTAGTCCCACCTATTGTGTATTTGTGTTGGCTCAATTCACCTCATGTAGCCCAGCCCCTTTGAAAATGAAATAGGTTGTTTTCTTCTGGCGTAGCACTAGCCGCAATGTAAACAATGAATTGTATTTGAGATCGTTCACAGATACACTACACCTACAGTATATAATTAAAATACTCTGTTACAAATTAAATCCTGCATTCAAACCTTATTTAAGTAAAAGTATGCAAGTATTAACAGAACATTTTACAGCACCTTCTTATGTAAAAGTAATGATGGTGCAGTAAAATGTTCCCTGTCAGTGTTTAATTTATGTTGTTTCTTGATTATTTTGTATGTTGCATTTTACTGCTGTACATGTTCAAAGTTGCGCTTGCATAAATGATTATAGATGAGGGAACCTGCTAAATATTAAAATGTGTGTGTTTTCTATATACAGTACAGTACCAGTCAAACGTTTGGACACCTTCTCATTCAATGTTTTTGTTTATTTTAATTGGTTTTTGTGTTTACCCTAAATACATATTGTAAGGGAAACTTCTGTGTAGCAATGCAGTGGGAGTCACCGACTCAGGAAGGAGACACGGTAGAGCAGGAGCTTCGGTGTCAAACGCTGATGATTTATTTGGAGTTACGGCCGGAGAATTCACATCACAAGTCACAGCAGCCACGATCTGACTGCACGGGTGGGTTGTCACGTCAATTCTAAAGAACTCTACCTCAGACCCATGTATTTAGCTAGTTCTGAGAGCATCATCAACATGCTGCATAACAAGATAAAATCATAACACCTCTATCAGCTGATGCCAACAGGCAGGAACAGGGAGACAGAACACTGAGAGCACAGCAGCCAAGGTTACGAGGTGCGTGTGCTCAGTCAGGACAGTTTGAACTGATAAACTGGGTCAAAGTTATGGGCCTTGGAAAATATTCCACAACACAAATAGCGGCGGCACAGCTATATAATATGTACAATGTACCACCAGAGGAAAGAATACACTGGACCGGGTGTATTCTAACCTGAAGCATGCCTACAGAGCGGCACCACTCCCCCATTTAGGTCTATCTGACCACCTCTCACTGCTTCTCATCCCAGCTTACACCCCCCTCAGAAGTGACACCAAGCCGGTGATCAAATATATCAGAACCTGGCCCGAGGGGGCACTCTCACAACTGCAAGACTGCTTCGAACACACAGCATGGGACATATTTGAACAGACAGACTTGGAGGAACACACAGAGCCCGTCTTATCCTACATCAAGTTCTGCACAGACACTGTAACTGTGGAAAAATGCTTACGGGTCTACCCAAACCAAAAACCATGGATGACAAGAACGGTGCGGTCTCTCATGAGTTCCCGTGACACAGCCTTCAGGACGGGGGACGCAGCCCAGTACAGCTTGGCAAGGGCGAATCTGAGTAGAAGCATCAAGGCTGCAAAGGAGGACTACAAGGAAAAAGTGGAGGAGAATCTCACTCATAAAAACACACGGTGCGTTTGGCAGGGCCTTCAACAGCTAACCAACTATAAGGGCAAAACATCTGGCACTACTAGAGCTGACGCCCACCTTGCAGAGGAACTAAACCACTTCTTTGCTCGCTTTGAGGCTAGCAGACCCCCCCACTTTTCTACTCTGCCCCTGTCCCTGCAAACTACCAGCTCCATACCACCTCCCACTCTCAAAGAACATCAGGTGACGCTGAGGTCTGTGAATCCTGGAAAAGCCGCAGGACCCGATGGAGTACTCGGCAAAGTACTCAAAGCTTGTGCTGACCAGCTTTCAGGGGTCCTGACCAGGATATTCAACCTGTCCCTGTCACAAGCTTGCATTCCATCCTGTCTAAAAACGGCTACCATCATTCCTGTCCCCAAAAAGACCCCAGTCAGAGAGCTCAACGACAACGGGCCCATAGCCCTAACCCAAATGTTTCGAAAGACTGATAGTCGACTACATTAAAGCCAACCTCCCACCCTCCCTTGACCCTCATCAGTTTGCCTATAGAGCCAACAGATCCACAGATGATGCCATCGCCATGGTCCTTCACACAGCTGTGAGCCACCTAGAAGGCCCAGGCAACTATATAAGGATGCTGTTTGTCGATTTTAGCTCAGCTTTTAACACCATCATACCTGACATACTAGTGGAAAAACTGTCAAGCGGGTAATAACCGGAAAAGCATGACATGGGACCTTTAAGTTCCTGGGGGTTCACATTTCGGAGAGCCTCAGCTGGACAGCACACACCACTGCAGCAGTTAAGAAGGCCCAGCAGCGACTACACTTCCTGAGGGTGCTTCAGAGAAACCGACTGAACAAGAAGCTGCTGATGTCCTTCTACCGGGCGACCATCGAGAGCGTGCTGTCATACTCCATCTCGGGGGTGGTATGCAGGATGCTCAGCTGCGGACAAGAAAGCCCTGCAGAGAGTGATCAGGATGGCAGAGAAAACCATCGGCTGCCCCCTGCCTTCTCTGGAACACATCTCCACCTCCCGCTGCCCCAACAGAGCTAACAAAATAATAAAGGACAGCTCTCACCCAGGTCACAGACTGTTCTCTCTCCTGCCTTCTGGGAGAAGATACAGGAGCTTCAAGTCACGGACAAACAGTTTCGACCCCTGGGCCGTCAGGCTGCTTAACCACCACACATAATGCAATAACCGTAACCATTCTCACACATACACATACTTTTAATGCACTTTATATACTATTTTTATATCAATATTTTTAACTATTTATTCCCCTGTATGATTGTTTATGTTGTCTGTCCTATTGCCGTGTTTTTTAGTGTTATGTATGTGTTTGTATTTTTTGCACACCGGGACAGAGTTGCACTCTGAATCTCGTTATACTCTGTGTATAATGACAATACATATATATATACAGAATATATTATAAATACATGTTGGCAATAATTGATTGATGAGATTTTACATTAATTTGTATTAATGTTTTAATTACTTAATGACATTTGTACTAGTTCAAGTAACATTTTAGATGTGTTTAACTTATTATTGAACATATTTTGTTGGAGCTATATATCTCTTTATATTATTTAATAGTTTAACATTTATGTTCTTGCTGTTTTAAAGTGTTTATTGTAAATGTATTCTTAGTTAGTCTCATAAGTAGTTTATATGCTTTTATTTTGAAGGCATGTTTTGGGCACTGGGTGATTAGAGCACCTGGTGGAATTGTATATATTTGAGACAGGTGGGAGCCAGAGCACTAGTAGGCAAACGGTTTTTTATCAGGGTGTTTCAAGCCAGCAAAAAGGAAGCCATAGGAAAGGCTTAAGGAAAAGGGATATAGTAGTGATGGCGAGATGAAGCCTTATGAAGCTTTGAAGCTTTCCAGCCAATTGGTTCGCAAAAGGGTTCATCTCATGAGGCTTCATCATGGGCTTCATTTGAACACAAACCCCCCTGTTGGTCAAAGTGTGTAAAACAGGCAGATTGGACATCTCAACCGTGTGCTCTATCTCATTCCGAGTTCCCAGTGAGTAAAGCCTTAGAATAACTCTAAACAACGAACATAAAATCATATTTTCATGTTAACAATATTGTATTTATTCCCGTTTAATGATTGTGATTGAAAAGCCTAAGGAGGCTGGTAAACATTGCAAAGAGGGATTAGTATTCCTTAATAATATTCGGAAACGTAACCATGTTGTAGCCTGAGAAAGGCTAAACCATATCAAAGAATACATTTATTAACTACATTATCTCATTTAGCTGTAGCTTTTATAAACAACAAAAAATACGTATTGTTCAGTCGTTGAACCAGGGACCCTGCGGCATGAGTCAACTGCTTTCCAGCTGAGCCACAGCACACACACTAAAGCTCCCTGAAAACACTGCAACATATGTATTCCTGTATTTATTGATGTTTTTATTCCTACATTTATTTATGCTGGTATCTATTTATAGAGAGGCGAAGTCCCTCCCCTTCCGAAAGCCTCCATGGGACCCCGGAAGCGGACAATTATACATTGAAGTCAATGGAGAGAGAAAGGTTATCTTTTGATCCCGTTTGAATTGTGCCACGAATGACACATATGATGTTTGTCAATTTAAAAGAACATTTTGCAAGTCAAAAAAATTAAAATGTGTCGTAAAACTGTGAAGTTACACATTTTTTCGTGTGAAACCGCTCAGTGAACTACAGGTCTCTCGTCTCGCACAATACGCGTCACCAACATAAAGATGGCCGTCACGTTAGCACATTTCACCACATTCTTTCAGAATGAGAATAAAAGTATTTTACGAGGTGAAAATCACTACAAGTCTGGGCACGTTGAGAGCTGTACCTATATGAAAGGGGAGTTAGTCGGTTCTGTAAGAGCCAGCATGCGGGACCGGCTTTACAAGGTTTCGGTGAGTAATATGAGTGCAATGTGTAACGTTAATGTCAGCTAGCTAACATTAGCTAACAAGGTACACTAACGTGTTTTGTTTTAGCAACTAGTTTTCTCCTTAAGAACTTCGTGGTCTCTGTGTATGCTGTGGATAACATTAGTGTTCACAAGAACAAGGTACACTCCCGTGTTTTGTTTTAGTTGCTCTTCAGATTGAAGCGGCCAGTTTTATATCGACTATACTGT